TCCTTTCTAATTTCCGTACGTCTGGGTCATTCGCTCTAAAGTTTGAACGAAGTTATTTTCATGACAAAGTACTTCTATCCATGAAATTTCATCAAAACTAGGGAGGATGTGCCACTCAGGACTACTTCCCTTGAACGCCGTACTATTTGATTAATATCCGTACTATTTCAAGGTGATGTTTCCATGATCTGCTTTTAAATCTTGTTTGGTTTCTTTCTTCTTCTTTTTTTTTGCCGCAGATGTCGAAGCTGTACCACCACAAGCTAGACAAGATTTTGATTCCGACTAACCCATTCTTTAAAGGTCCATTGCCTTAGGAAATTAAAACTTTTATGTCTTGTATCAAGACCCTTTTAAAGCAACATAATAACAATTGTTTCATAAATAAATGCCTCCTTATATTTTTTACAATTTTTTGAAAACCTCTCCAAGTTGCTCGTCTAATGGTGGACCCCGCCCCTTACAATTCTCAGAGTTCCTCGGAATGATTGACCAAAGGATTAGTGATGTTATATCAAGAACGATCTCCGCTTAGGCAAGCTACAGTGCTTGCTAGCCAGCTCTGCAGGCATTATGTTTTGTACACAAACATAAACAATAACTTTTGTTATTAAATAGTGTGCTATGCATCTTTACTTGTTATTTATTGTGGTGAAATTTCACTAATGGCCCAATTTTAAAAAGAGAGCTATACCATGAGTCGAAGAAGGTCGTAATTGATTTGAATGCCTGTATTACGTGTCAACTAAATGCATGCTATAAAGAATTTCAAAGGTAAGAAAAAAATGTTTCATATATCTAAGTGACTGAATGTTTTTCGTACTACCTTTTTCTCAATTTAAAGAAATATTGAAAGTGGTATATCAGAGTGAAGAAACTTGTGTTTTTCCCTTTACAAGCTCTGCTCTTTCTTACTTCACTTTCAAATTTCCTCTCTCGTTATATAAACATTTAGCGATTGCTTTACTTCACACATTCAAGCAATGTATACTATCCCTCCTAAAAAAAAACAGTTTGTAGATGTGTTAACAATAGATATGGCGACGAAATGTATCAGCATCTCTGAAATGCCTAAGCATCAAAAATGTTGGCAATTTCTCTGAATTTTATTTTTTATTTTTTATGGAACATTGTTTACATTAATTGCCTAGTTCTTGGTATGCAAATGGTGGACACTTTATTAATTTCTTTATATTTTTGTGCTGTACATATGTAGAGGAATCTTGTCATAAGCAATCGTGTTCGTCTGCCAGAAAGTTTGTTTTGTTTTACTCGGGAAGTTGTGAGGATTGTTTATTATATTCGTACAATGAATTTCAGTATGTTATGTCGTGTTACGTGTAAGCGACAATTCATTTTATAACAGCTCCTATCGTCCTAGCATTCATTGATAGTAGGCCTATATTGTGACACATTGAGATACCTTGAACTTGAAACTATGTTTACATCTTTTTCGAATTCAAACGAAAATACAAAAGAAAGATGTACAATAATTGTATTCACATTTACAACAGTTTGTTTATTACACATAAAATAAAGTATGTTTTATCACAAAATCAGTTTATTTTCCTTGTTCTTTTGTTTTGGAGGGAGGGGGATGTATTCAGAGCAAATTCTAAGAAGCAAGATGGTGAACTTTTCATTAAAATGGGACAAATAAGTTGTTATCAAGTTTTGATAGTGATTAAAATGTACAAGATAATAGACATGACGAAATTAAAATAACATGTCCCTCTTGCTTCAATATTGTTATTATACATATCTTCCAGAGGGATCTAAGTCGAGTTCTATAATGAACTTTTCTCAAATTCAGTCTAATTTTGATGAAATTGTTACTATCTTCATTTTGTGGATTTTGCTCTGTTTATTTATTTACTCCAATCTTAAACTACTTGGTTTTTCCTTGTCACGTTGTGATGCATGTGTTTGAATGATTGTACATGTCCGATGTAGTATGATCTTGACGATGTTCTTATGAACGGACGATTGATGTTGGTGTGAATATGTTTTTGAGTTGGTGTTGGTAATGTCAGAAGGATGTTGGCATGAACTGGAAAGGGGAGGTACAACGTCGGCACATGGTGGGATACGGGTTGGCATAACGTTGCTTCTACGTCGGCAAATGGTGGAGAAGAGGTTGGCATAGCGTTGGTCTAGCATTGGCACATGGTGGAGGAGGGGTCGGCACTTGGTGGGAAAAGGGTTGGCATTATGTTAGGACAACGTCGGGGAGACGTCGGCACATAGTGTAAAAGGGGTTGGCATTACGTTGGTCCTACGTCAGGGAGACGTCGGCACATGGTGGAAAAGGGGTTGGCATTACGTTTGTCCTATGTCGGCATATGGTGGGATAGGGGTTAACATGACGTTGGTCATACGTCGAGGGGACGTTGGCCCGATGTTGGCTTAATGTCATTTCGTCGCTGTCGAGCCAACGTTGGCCCGCCGGCAAGAAAGCCGTTGGCCCAACATCACATTGGCGACGATGGCGCAACGTAACAGCCCACGACGTCGGCACATGGTGGGATAGGGGTTGGCATAACGTTGGTGTAATGTCCGAACTACGTCGGCACATGGTGGGATAGGGGTTGGAATAACGCTGGCCCTACGTCGTGGAGACGTCGGCACATGGTTGAAAAGGGGTTGGTATAACGTTGGGCCAATGTCGAGGAGACGTCGGCACATGGTGGGATAAGGGTTGGCATAACGTTTATCCAACGTCGGCACATGGTGGGATAGGGGTTGGCATAACGTTGGTCGTACGTCGGCACATGATTAAAAAAGGGTTGGGACGACGTTGGTCCAATGTCGGAAAGACGTCGGCATACGGTGGAAAAGAGGTTGGCATAACGTTGGTTCAATGTCGGGAGGACATCGGCACATATGGTCGGATAGGGGTCGGCATAACGTTGGCCCGATGTTGGCTTAATGTCATTTTGTCACTGTTGGGCCAACGTTGGCCCGCCAGCAAGAAAGCCGTGGGCCCAACATCATGTTGGCGACGTTGGACCAACGTAACAGCTTACGTTGGCCCCACGTTGGCGTAACGTCGTATTGTTATCTGGGATGTGACGTATTTCCGTGGACTGTTCCTAAACCCGGAAGTACAACGTATTATTTCAATGTAAAAACGTACACAAACATGGGTAATTTTGTTAGTAGATTTTGCAATTTTTGTGATATTTAATGAAGTGTTTTATCGAATTTACAATCAAGAAATAAACATTCTTTCAATTATATAAGCATTGGTTACTTCCCGATGTTTGGTTTCCTTGAAATATTGACGTTTGGTACTGTAAAATTGATCGTCTTGCAGATCCTGACACACCGGCTTCGCCTATGTTTTGTTTTGATAATTAGCGTAACTTGAATTTCGCGGCACGGGGAGAACTCGCGATAGCTCAGCTCACCCGTTCGTAGTGCAGTGTTCAGTGAACACTGCACTACGAACGGCTGAGCTGAGCTGAGCTGCAATTGCAGCGTGACATTTTTTGGAGATAAAGTTGTTTTTCTCGGGTTATAAATTAGCTGAAACGTCTGTCATTCGAACAAATTAAGTATTATTACTCGGCTTGTAATTACTACTGGTCTAGATGAAAATAATGTCTCAGTGCTGATCGAAAAAAAAAACTCAGCAAAGAGACGGCGCGGTAGTGCGGTACTTTCTCTTCGCCATGCATGTTGAATCTACGATATACAACAGGGAAGAATCGTCGGGGTAGGACGAAGAATCTCCCCCTTTTCCCCATCGAAGACTAATACCGGTACTTCAAGTTATAATTTCAACTGGCCAGCAAGATGCTCAGAGAAGTCGAGCAACCTAGAGTCAAAATTGTAATTACTCCCTTCGCATATTTTGAGATAATGTCGCCCCACCCGCTGCATGTTTGAATGTTTCTCTATGCACCCGCCGAAGCTCGCGGCGTCGGAGCTTCCTGGAGTAGGCCTAGCTGGCAGCTTGAACTCCCGCATCACGATTCGATCAGCGTTACATTTTCGTCGTCTTTAATTCGCCCAATTCACCATCATCTTCACTTATATACCATCATCACTGCTACTAACTTCTTCTTCATCATACTCAAAGATCATTTCGAGTTCATCTGAGCTGTTTTCTGTCATTTTTACTGATGATTAATATCCCGATATAACGTCTATATACTTTCACTCTGATATGTACACTGCAGTGCTATCTGATTGCGAATAGAATGCGCGCGGTGACCGTGTTGTGAATAGTCCACGGAATGACGTCACATGCTCAAATCTCCTAATGGTATCGTAGACGAAATTCTCTCAGAAAAACTTGATTCTCGTAACTTCATTCCATTATATCTCCTTCCCCTTATGTTTATTGACAATGAACTTAAAAACAAAAATGAAGAACTAAAAATAACCTTTCTAACGATACCTAATTCAATATGAATGGAATTCAGCTTTAAAGCCCAATGCATTAATCATATCACTAACTCCACCCATCCTAGGACCAACACCATTAAAGGGGAAGGCCACCCTTTGTTGGTTTTTGATAAAAGAAGCAGCTCAGTGAAAGTTTGAGCAAAATTCAATTAAAAAGAAGAATGTTATGAGTGTAGTTGGCAACGTTATGACGTATCTGCGAGCTCCTCTCTCATTTTTTATCTACATAACATTTCTTGTACTTTCATTTTCATCGTTATTGATAACGGAATATATTTTCGTCCATACATGGGTCGTCTAGAATCATATTTGTAATCATTACGAAATGGCGCGTATGTAATTACGAAAATGATGAGGAAATACATATGGGACTGCTACATAATTATAACTCCCGCTGTCCAATGCGTTTCATGCAGCGCAAGTTAAGCAATGCGCATGACGTTCATGACATCATAGTCATGTTTATTCAGCCTGGTACTTTCATAAGCTTTCGTATGTATGGTTCTCTATATACCATGCAGGGCACAACATGAGCTACATAATGAAATATTCCATTACATAGCTAAACTAAAAGATATTTTGCTTACCTGATAAAGCGAGACAGACTCCTACAGTAACTGAGTTTTTGAAGAAAGCGCTGGCAATAATACATGATCCACACAACACTCCGCCTAGCATAGCGACAACGCGATGGTTGATCTTCTTCAGAACAAGTGTTACAAAAGGACCTAATATGTTGACAAATAAGGAGAAACGATACTAAATTAAAGTTACAAATATGAACAAAACGTGATATAATTACGTCCAAAAGTAAACACTGTTTTTAGAAACGTTTAGGAATTTCCCATCATCCAAATGTCAGAGTTATACTTACATGACAACATGATTATACCATATTGCTACCCGAATATGAGGTGACATTTAAACAGATAAATAAGGAATTACATTCAAGGTGGGGGAGGAGGAGGAGGACACATTTGACTTACTTAAGAGGTACATAGATGTTGCAGGCAAGCTACATATCAATCCGACAGTAGCATAATCTGACTCCAGACGCTCGACCATTGTAGGAATAAAAACACCGAAAGACTTCGCGATGCCAGTTACTATAAAAAGTACCACGGATTTGGCAACAACAATCCAGTAGCCCCAATACCACATACTGAATCTTGCTATAACTTGTGTACCCTCAATGCAGATGTATGATTAATCCAATCCAATCGAATCCAACAAGTATTTTATTTAGCCCTGAAGATATCGCTTCACATGATAGGGTCACCAAAGCAAGATTTCACTTAAACAGGACCAATTTGGGCAAAACAATCCAGTGTTGTCTAGCAAAATAGATAGGGCTTCAAACATTCCATGAACTAGACGGATGAAGCTGACTTCCAAAGAGGTATAGGGCCCGTTCCACAATTTTGCACCAAATAAGAGATCATTCTCCTGCGTACAAACGTCCGCCAAAGTTGCTTTTCGAGTCGATGATTATTTCAAAATTAGGTTCACGTTGATTTATTCAGTGTGTAGGCTACAAAGAATAGACGATTCTTCTACTGTATTTCCACAGTACAGTGTCTCGTGGCAAAGTACATGTGCTTTCTTAATATTCCCATCAGCTTCTCTTCAAACAGGTTTTGATGAAATAGCTACAAGTTCATCTAAATGAACACTAGAAAATAGTCGTATACATATCAAAAACTTGGCAGGAACCTCAACAAGAAACCGACATTTGGGCTACAATCGATTTTAAAGTTAAAAGCAGTAGGTCTGTATTGCGAAAATTGACGATTAACTTGCAATATCAACAACATGCAAATACGTGTTAATAGAAAGAGGATGCCTGAATGCCTATGATGTGCAGTATCATTCCCTATGAAAGACCACGGAGTACGCCATTGTCATGTATGCACCTTTCAATAGATTACCTTGGGGAAAACAGATTTGTGTGACATTGTTTGTTTAATCCAATTCATTTGATATAATCTTTTTGTCCATTACTCGATAATTTGTACGTTAAATGAACTTTAAATGACATTTGCAATACAACATATGAAATTAAACGTGTTCGTAATTATAATCTTAATTGTTTACACGTAATAAAATCATCAAATGATATATATAATATACAGGCCTAAGTATATTATAATTTAAGTCTAATCTAAATGAAAAGAGAAATCCAATTAAAAAGCAGAGCTTGTTTTTCCGTGGATTACAAGGAGAAAAAAAAACCCGTAGTATACAGCGCACAGACTCATATTCTGATATGCGCTATATAAGGTATATTATTATTATCTATGCAAATACATGTGCATAGCAAGAGGATGTATGAATGCATATGGGAAAAAGGATATAGAGTATGGGCTTCATGATTCCCTATGTAAGGAGGCATACATTTATTAAAAATGTAATTGTTTATTTATGACTGCATTGAAGAAAAAACGAAAGATTCATCGGAATTTCGAATGACGACTATGCAGAAGAGGAACAGAGTCTGGGCAATGTAATCAGTGGTGGATCAATGTGGGGCCGAATTTGCCGCGACCCTGCTACCCGACATAGGCCCTAAAGCAAAAAGTCTCGTGGCAAAGCAGTTCCTTATATTTATATATTTCATCAGCTTCCCATCAAATAGAACCTACATGAAATATCTACGTGTTCCTCTAAATCAATACTAAACAAAATAAAGTATAAATATTCAAGAACAAAATTATTATCAAACTTGTACTAAAATCAGTGCCAAAGATAAAAGCGATTGGCCTTTATCGCGGAAATGGACGGTGAACTTAACGTGTAGACGTAGGCTGTGCCTAGTTTGAGAGTTACGTCAACGAAATGGAAATCGAAACGCAATGCTTGAATGAATGCATATTATATAGGTCAAAGTCTGTGAATCTCTGGCCAGTATCGGCTTTGTTATTCCCAATGAAAGGCCCCTTATATTCAACAGGAATTATTAAAGACTGGTTTGGGAAATCTATTATTTATCAAATTCATCGGAGTTTAACTGTAACTCGACAATTGCTACCTTGACCTTTGTTTGTTGCATGCACCTCGCTAGGCCTTTATCTTCTACACAGATCAATTTCTTTTAAAATCCGTTTAACGCGGAATCCGTCATTGATTTTAGGTATATTTCAAGAGTTGGATTATGATTGCATATCATGGCAATGTTCATTGAATAAATAAGTGATGGGCAATAATAGTATTTATATGGAATGTAAATGTATATAGGACTGTTTGAAGGTTTGGGTATACATTTCCGTGCAGTGTAAAATGATGTAGTGTACGTTATACACCGATTCGGGCGACTTCTGGTGGAAGTGCGCCGTCATAAGGTGACGCCATAACTGGCGTCACCTTATGAAGATGAAACAATTAAACATTTTATTTTCTATTGTACAAAATACGACAAAGATAGACGTCTCTTAAAAGAAAGGATTAAATTGAACAACCCCAATCTGAAACAATTATTGATGTCTAACCCAATTTTTACTCGTGAATTATTGGGTTACATATACGATACTAATCGTTTTAGATAGCTTTTAAAGCTATCAGGGATCCCCTTAACTTATGTCGATCCTGTAATAATATATAAAATGAAGTATTTGCGGTTTTTCCATGAACAATTGCAACTAACTCCCATCTCGCCTTTTCTGTGCATTTTATGCAATTTTAATATTGCAGCCTTTTTTTTTTTTTTTTTTTTTTTTAAATAAAACCATATCACTATTAATTTCATTTCACCAAGGAAAGTCGCTCGTGGGCTTGATTTCCGAAGCCCACGCCAAAGCTATACACGAAATTGACTGGCGCAAATAATCTTTGAGATTGAAGAGCGCCATCTAAACGAAGAACCAACCAACCGCGTCTGACTGCAGCTAGCTAGCTTACATTGCAACGGGTATGCTATACCTATACCGAACCTCGCCCAGGCCGGCCAGGGTCGCTGCTCCGCTAGCTAGTAACCGCTCTCGAGCTCTCTGTACAGCTGGATCGGAGAAGCCCCCCAGTTATAGCGCCGCCACCGGCGGGCAGGTACATAAAACCCCCAAACCGAATCGGTGTATAGATGAGGTAATCAATATAGATATGTTGGGAACGTAATTATAAAGACATATCACACTTTTGCTTACATAATAGGAGGATAATCATCGCAGGCGTGTTACATACCCCTCAACCATAGTAGTAATAAGAACACAGACACATTTACCGATCACAGTACCATTAACAAGTAGAACAAACCTTCTTATGGCACGAACTTGCTTCTACAACAATCACATACACAGGAATACACAATGGAGCTTGCTATGACAACTTTACCTTCAAAGTAGAAGTGTGATTATTCCAATCCAATTCAAATGATAAGGATTTGAATTAAGCCTTGTGCCTTTTCTTTGCAGTTACAAAGAGCTGCACATATCGAATTATTCACATATAAATAAAGCACAATTTCAACTATGTTAGAAAAATCGACTCGAAAGAATCCTCTCCCGAAAGAAAAAGCGCAGGTAATCTGGAAACTAAGATGTATTTCTGCCCTTTGATGTACAATAGTCCTTGCGAAAATGAAAAAACAGATATATGTCACAGGCCTTCTATATGTCTGCGCCGGTTCAATTGATTAAAGATTATCAAACACGGAGATCCACTAAAAACATAAGTCTGAAACATATATTTTGTGCCAATAATTCCAAAGAGGTATTTATTAGTATCCGATGTCAAAGATACACCGAAAATAAATTCCCAGTGTAACAACTGGCACTGTCTAATTCAAAACAACAGTTATTATAAAATATATTTCATGCAAAGCTTTACAATATATTGTACGGGTAGAATAAATGATAGAGAAGGCACACTCTAAAAAAAAACTGCTCATTTTGAGTCAAAATGTTACTCTTTTGGGTGGTCAAAAGGAAACCACCCGACTTTTGAGTAAACTTTACTCAGCATGTGTTGAGTAACAAATCTTCCCATCTGTTGAGTAAAAATATTACTCAATAAAAGACTAAATATCTACTCAGTTTGAATGAGTCAACCTTTACTCAATATTTAATCTTTGTTTAGCGGTTTCCTTTTTTACTCAGTACTGGGTAGAAACGTAATCAACTCATGTCGAGTAAGAAACTGCTCATGAGTTGAGCCAAATTTTACTCAATTAACGAGTACATGTTTTGACTCAAATTGTTTGAGCGATTTTTTTGCTCAAATATTGAGTATGTTTTCTGGGTAACGCTTAGTTGCTCAATCAATATTGAGTAAAAACATGTACTAAGTTAAGTACATGTTTTTACTCCATTAGGGGTGCAAACCGATGCAATAGCAGCACCTTTAGGGGTTCAATCCTGCACCCTTTAAAAGGTGCAATCCTGCACCCATCATCGAGGAATACTGGTAATATTTGCTCGTACACAAATACATATTAAACATGCATGGTGTTTCTTGGTTAGTAATCATATAATCAATATATCTATTGCTAAAACGTGAATGTAATTGTAACATGATCAGACAAAATAATATATTGGTTAATGATTGCCAAAGGAAAATACAAAATCAAAAAATTGATGTGCATTGTCATAATTTGCTTAACAAATCATGATAAATGTATTTTTATGTGAACACGTGGAAAGTAATCATGAATATGCATGCAATATGCAAACTTTTATTTTGCACCCTCTTTTGGTCAATAGGGTTCATTTTTGTGGGAAGGGTGCAAAATCTTATATTGCACCCTTTTTTTAACCCCTTTTCCTTCAATAGGGTTCATTTTTATGTAAAGGGTGCAAACTCTTATTTTGCACCCTTTTTTGCACCCTTTTTTCTAAGAGTGTATCTCAGTTCTTTCGCATCTTTCTGCACGCGCACATGCATGCACGAGACATGCACATGACAGACAATGAAAGAGTACAAAATATCCAGTTCCTTAGGTAGACAAAGGAACATACAGCTGCTATTATGTAAAAATGTGTAGAACAGGTGTCACATGCATATTGACAGCTAGTTGCACTTTCCATCGATCCAACTTTCACTCGCACCCGAGGTAAATTCGGGTAAGAGATCAATGTTGATTTATTTATCACCTGCCGCAGCGTAATACCCAACCGTAGTTTACTCAAAATTGATACAAACGAAATTCGTACTCAATGTTGAGTCATTGATTTACTCTTTATCGAAGGTAACAAATTACTCGGGTGACGAGTACCACTAAAATCAAGGTCTTACTCCAGCTTGAGTACTGAATTGCTCATTTTGTTACTCAACTTGTTTTACTCGGCACAATTTACTCGCTGCCATTAAGAGTGCACTGCGTAAGCTACACTGTACAGTGCGTCCCAGAAAAAACGAAACCGAGAACTATCGATGCTTTATCATAACTTCATCACAATTATAATTAATAAGTGACACATATTTGGAAAGCTTAGATCCCCCTCTTTGATTTGATGCAACTCTTATGATGCATATTTCACGCATGAGTGATTACAAAAAAATTGAAGAGAGGAAACCAAAAAGTCATTTGACGGGCGGTATCTGCATTTCGAAAGGAAATCACATTTCTAGAAGGTTCAATTTCTGCCCTTTCATATGACACCTCAATTAGGAAAATGAGCCAGGAATAACAAAGTTCTGTTTGTTTTAAAAAATGCTTGCATTTCCATAATTTGATCAAACGAGTTCGTTTTCACTGGCTGCCTGCCGTAGAAACAAACAGAGTTGACAAAAGACTTAACTCCGTTTCTTTGAAGATCAGCCATGCATCAGGTATTTCGTCTTCTTTGTGATGAAGTTATATTTGGTGCCATATATTAATAAAGGGGAACAATTGTAGCTCATTTATTTAAGAATAATAACATTTAGCAGTTGACAAATGGACAAAATGTTGGTAAAAGTTGTACATTTTTCCGGCAGTAAGCTGCCTTAAAGTCTTGAGTTCTGGTAAAAAAGGAAAATAATACAGCATGCATGGCGTGATTGCAAGATGAAGATATCGAGGCAAAATGTTCAGATGATGTACTCCTCGAAAATTGCTGTAATGGAACTGATCAGGCGCGGATCCAGGATTTCTTAGGGGTGGGGGCCCAAATTTGAAATCAATTTTGAATTTAGTGTGCTGAAATATGAAAATCGTGCCGGCCGATTTTTTGCTCGGGGGGGGGGGGGGGAGGTAATGTGCACAATTTTTTGTTGGGATGCCTTTGAAAATCTGAAAAATTGCACCCCCCCCCTCCGCACTCGAGCGCCAGGAAGGGGGGGGGATCTCCATAAAAAAGGGGGAAAATCTTTTCCGGGGGGGGGGCCTGGGCCCCCTGCATAAGCCACTGGAACTGATATACCGGTACTGTTGGGAAAAGGCTTGCTTTAGACGCGTGGGTCTTTATCCGATATAAGGTGACTTGTTACAGGTTAAGCATAAAAGTGCAGGGTTATGTTGGTACTCTCTCAGCCGGGACAGGTAGAGGGGGGGGGTGCACTCTTAGAATCTCGGCCATCGAAAACAGGTAAATAATCTAACTTAGCAAACATAGAATATCTCACAAAGAATGAGTTCATAAAATTTAATATCTATATTTCAAATGATTACTAATGAACTTTACAAATTTCCACAAATTGACAATTCTGCATTGTGTACAGTTCATAATGTTAATAGCGAAATGTTCATTTGTGCTGCATGCTACGCATCGAATTTTGCCTTTACTTTGGTAGAAATTATATAAACTTGGTATCAACAGATAGGTGGCCGGGCGGTGGATCCTGCCCCGGCCCTTTTAGGATTAAAAAGAAGGAAAAAAAGCCTCCCGGGTGGTCGGGACTCTGAGAAGCCCTGCACATTGGCCCGAATTCACGAAAGAGGTTTGTCGACAAACCTGTGCGTTATATGACGCGTTTTGATGCGTTTCAGACCAAGATTTGTCTGAACCTTGGTCAGAAACTTATCAAAACGCGTCATATGATGCACATAGACCTAGGTTTGTCAACAGGCTCCCTTTGTGAATTCGGGCCTGTTTGTCCTATAGACATCAGGTTTGAATTACGTCAATGTTATGTTCACACATTTCAATAAGTGACCTTGGGAAAAACCATGTTTTTGAGGCGTGGTATGTTGAATAAAGGAATGTTGAAAGCTTATTTCAGTTTTATTAACCCAGACAATTTAGAAGTTACTTATCAAATAGTTTGGAATAATCATAATATTTGTGTCGTTTCCATACCCTGTTTTGATAAATGCATGCATATTAACCATGTCATTATCCAGGGCCATTTTCAATGAGTAAACTAGAAAAACAAAACATATGGTTTAGATACATGGGAATACAGTTAGCCATTATAAATCGTTACTAACCAACCACTAAGCCGCGCCCAGGCGTAAGGTCAACCTGACAATACCCTGAACGACCTGAAAAAAAATATCAGTCCACTGCTGTGTCAGGCAGACAGCCAGTCACAATCTGTTCCAAACTTCTTCTTTTTCCGTTAAAGGTTATCAGTCTTGTCAATGAAACCAAAGTTAACATACAAAATGTCCCAATAACATGGCGAAGTATATAAACCTTGAGTAAAAGTTCGGAAGTAATTACAGGGTATACCCCCGACTCATAGATAACTAATAACCATTATCATTTTAAATATGTAAACTAAAACCAATTAAAACAGATAGTTTATAATCATGGAAAAAACAGCTAGTTATTATTATATTAATCGGTTGTTCGGTATCAACTTGTTAAGGGCACCTCCTTTATTTATGTTAAAAGGAAGGAGGATAGGTAGAAGTTTCTGCCTCCTCCTCTAAATCCTCGATGGTCAAAATGAGAGCTGACATCTTGTCGTCGCCTCTTGATGAGCATCCATACGATGAAGAGATTAACGACCATGACGGCGTGAATGAAGCCGACGATGATGAACACCATCGTGAATGACTGGGTGACATCAAACAGATAACCTAGGAAATGATCATACCAGAATTATATGTATTTGTCAGGGATTTGTAATGTTAACATAGCAAAGCGTACAAAGACAAAGCTTTGACCAAAACCTATGTAGACATGCGTATGGGGGCACGATCATAGCTTAACCCTTACTGTACTGGGCTATTTTGAGCACCTAACTGGGGGGGGGGGGGGGGGGGGGGGAGCCCCCCCCCCCCCCCCTATGATCTCTGTCGTTGAATGTCCGAAGAACACGAACATTTGCATGTTTGTAGATATTTCCGTAAGGAACAAGATAGTACAATTAGTTTTGTCCTAATATGCAAATTTGTGTCGTTATAGCCTAATTGCTTATGCAAAATGCTAATTTTACAGAAAACTCTACATTACATAGCGAAGAATGTTGAAAATGTATTGGATAAATGTTTCCTTCTTCTCATTTCATGTGGCTTCATTATTGTTATGATATTTGAAAATGCATAGGTTAATTGGCATAAATTATGAATACGCAAATTACGCATTCATGAATATCAAATCTGGAAATGTACAGGGAACTAGAATCATTCAAAAAATTGTCAGACTCCATTTTTTTAATGTTGAAACTCACTATTTATGTGAAACTTCTTTTCTAACACAAACTAGTTATTTTGATGTAATTATTAATGATAATTTAAGCAAATTGTATGCGATTTTCAAATATTTGGGCCTATTTGAGCTTTTTAGTGATGTTTTCGTTGTTGGAAAGTATGTTTAGGTGTGAAGATCAACCAACAAGTGCATGGTGGGGATAAACGCTTCTTTCTTGAAGACAGGAGGTTTATTGTGATGCACTGCCAAGCAAGTGCACAACAAGGTATTAAAGAACTTAGAGATTAGATATATTAGTAACACATATGCTCTAATCATGTTGGGACAATCCTGTGGTACAACTTTTATACAAGGCTAATGAGGTCTTCAGAAGCCTATTTCAAGTCATATGTATCTCTGTTTTCCAAAAGCTTCATCTCAAAATGTTTTTCTGAAGAAATTTTTTTCGAAATTCATCATTTTATTTTCTTATGTATTTGGTTGTTTTTTATTTCGTATTATATCTATTGTTTTATTTCTAATGTATTTTTGTTCTGGAATACATCAAGTTACTTTGAGAAATATTTAAAAACAATTTGATATCAATTCATATCTCCCACTTAGGAAGAAATACCTCTAAACCTGTATTCACATTTCTACTTGTACGTGAATAGTTGCAATTTTGGCACTTTTTGATGTCATGCGCATACTAATTGTTATGTAACACCTTACAGGTATATCCGATTTCGACGAAAATGGTATCAAATGTGCGTAAGACTTGGAAGAAAATTCAAAATTCCCATCGGTTAAGGCGCTATCTCCGAAAATATTGAGGGGGCCTCCCAGAGTTGTCAGTCCATAATCCGAAAAATAATTTATAATGACAATACATACAATGGGGTATCGAACTTAAGTTGATTTCTCAAAGATTCATCATGTTTGAAAAGAAGAATCTAGCTATGAATTACGCACCTGTAAATGTTCCTGCACATGTCGCCCCTAGCCCTTGCGCAAAAAAAACTGAGAGACACGGCCATGTTAAAATTCCGATCGTCAAAGACTGCATCTTTCAATAAACTGGACATAATAGTATCCTCGATGAAGAAGGAGAAACCTTGGACAAAAGCCAAGGTAGCACGCACCGCGTAAGCAGAACCGATGAAGTCCAGCAGAAATAATGCCGTGCCGATGAGGACTATGGCGATGTAGACGATATAAACATTGATGCCTTTGCCGACGAGGATGATGAAAATGGTCCGACCGATGATGCCACCTATGCCGCCAATTGTGGAAAGGAAGATTGCTTTAGAAGGAGGGATTCCCAGGTGTTCAGCGTGAGGTACCAGAAACAGCATCCACGCATAAATGGAGAACATGTACAAGAAATGAATCGGGATGGTGAAGAGATAGAGTGGTTCGTTTAATAGTCCACAGGACCGTTTGCCGATTTGAAAGACGGAGCTTGTCCAAGATGAGCGCGCATTCGGTGATGTATCCTGTTTATTGATGTTACGTCTCTCGTTTTGAATCAAATGCCTTTCCTCCAAGACGCACTCTTCACTATCCTCTTGCTCCTCCTCCTCATGATAATGGATGCTTTCTGTTTGCTTCGAGGATTCTCCTTCAGAGAGACACTTCTGTTTCTCATTCATTTCATTATAACTTTTGACTTCATTTGTAGCTGCGTTTCTTGGTGCCTTGTGTATCGTTGCACCGCACGCGACAAGGTTAAAAGCGATACCGCCAAGGATAATAAAAGCCCCTACATAGCCATATGCTTCGAATGACCTTTCAGTTACAATAGGGAGCAGCATGGATCCAGCGGTGTAGCCGTACAACGTGATTGTGTTCATCAAAACGAATTTTTCTCTGAAGAAATCATTCAGTGCAATCACCATGGGCATATAGGTCATTGACATGCCAACACCTGCGGGAAAAAAATGAAAGGATGACAATTATTACTATTAACAGAAATAAAACGGACTCGCACTGCTCCATTTCCATTCAGTTCTATTCTCCATGATCTTTAGGAGTTGCCTGTCCTTAGATAAGTTCCTTCTTCTTTCTAACTGCTGTTCAACCTCTGGCACGTTTGTCCCTTAAAGGCTGCCAGAAGAGCATTTGTGAAATCATTTCACCCTTGCTCCTCCAGCAATGACCTTTGGAACGGAGACGGCATTCTCTCAATCCTTTGGCGTTGTGTCTCTATACAACTCTATATTTTCCATAATATAGTCCCCCCCCCCCCCAGCTGACATTCAATGCTCCTCTCAAAAGTCTTGTCTTGTAGTAATGATACTGCTACACCTATAACACTACTTCTACTACTACTATTACTACTACTACTACTATACTCCTACTCCTACAATAATATAGTATTAATGACTGCTTTGAGAGAAATAGTTGTTTTTATACGCTCAAGGGAAGGTTAGAATTGTGCTATTGCCCCGAGGCGTGCCGAGGGCAATAGCCCAATTGTAACCTTCCCGAGAGCGTATAAAAATAACTATTTCTCGAATATTAAAGCAGTCATTAATACTTTTATATGCCGAAAAATAAAGAAAGAAATAAAATTTAAATTTTTTTTTTTGTCGAAGATGGAATTCGATCTCTTAATTACCAAAGGTGATGTAACGAAAACCGCCGCCTTAAACCGCTCGGCTATCATACATAGCAGTTTTTTTTTATATATATACATTAACCCGTTCAACTCGGGAACCGAGATTTCTCGGGTCCCGAGGTACGTACTCACAAACGGGAACCGAGATTTCTCGGGTCCGAGCAAGGGCTTCTTTTATTGCAGAAAAGTACATCTATTCACCTTCTAAATACAATATAAACTACCTGTATACAAACCTTGAACCTTTGGCTACATGCATCTCATTTTTTACCGACTGTAGATGCGTAATTTTTGTTTTATTACAAGTTTAGCATGAGAATGCACGAGTCCTCTTTCAGGATATTCGTATAGAACACATGCAAGTCAGTTTACGTTATTTTCATAGATTTTCGGATTCGCTGCTGCTAGCTAGCTGGGTCTACTATGCCTAGGACTGTGTAAGCCGGACATAATGATTTTGCAAGCAGCGAATTCCACACTCGCTCTGGATACCTTTGTACTCGGCACGCGCGGATACACCGTTCAATGCATGAGCCTTGGCCTTATATGGTCATTGACGCCTATTCATGGTAACGGGCCGATTATTGAATAGCTTATAGTATATTACAGTCTCGTTCGACCTAGCGCTCTCAGTTCAGTTTACTCATGCGTACGTATACAGGGTACCGGGCCGACCTATTATTGGGGAGATTAGCTAGTCTCGATATAGTCCATCCCATTGTTTCGTTTCAAGGTTGTCGGCTATTATTTACTTATCGTGCTATAAAGTGTCGGAGTTTTACTATTTAGTTCAGTTTTTTTATTTTCATGATAGTTGGTTGCACAAATTAGTTCTCAATTATTTGCTTATAACTGCTCTTTATCTATGTAAGATAGTTTCTCAAAATGTCTCGTCATCGGAGAAAGCCTATTTTTAGCGTTGAAGATGCTCGAGAAGCGATCCTTGACTCGGACTCAGAAAATGAATATGATACAAATGGACTTATCAAGCGAAGAAGAGTATTCATCGGACGTAGAAAATGAAGAATATGAAACAACGACATTCGATGATATTTCCATAAGTTATCTATAAAGCCTGTCGTCTCAAAAGTTTTGACTCCACAGCTATCTTTTACGTCATTGTATTTACATGACAATACGCTTTTCATGTTATCAACTTGACCAATTTAGCGAATCATTCATGTATGGACCTCCTTTTTTATGAAAGGCTTATCCAGGCTCCCTCAGCTGCCCCACGCTAAGGGGGAACAAAAGAATGTAAAGAAGTAACTACTCTGGAAGATTGCCGTTTTGAAAGAAGAGGATGTAGGCGTAAATAGGTCAATTTACATTACAATACAAACAACCACTCTAACTTATACACCTTTACGAGGGCATGTAACAGTTTTAGAGCAGGTTGAAGTAAAATATCTTGATCAACCTAAAGCCGGTCTTGGCTTGAGCGGGCATATGAAATGTTCAAATGTTATGTTCTGAAAAACGACCCCTTACTCTTCCTCTCTCTCCCTACGGAATATTACTCTTGTCTTGAGCAACTCCGGCGGTAAAGCCACGAATATGAGACTTTTCCCGGGCAAAGATGCTACCATTGTTGAAAAAAATGCAAGGCAACATAAAACAAGTTTTCTGGCAATGAAGAAAAGCGAGTGCAAGATGAATAAAATAATTGTTATTATTATTATTACTATTTTATTACAATATTGTAAGCATCATCTTCATCATCATCATCATCATCATCATTATCATTATCATGTATGCATGTACATGCCATCTACAGAACTGATCATGAAACGAGGATTATCTAAGTTTTATTGACACGATAGGTTGAACAAGGACACAGATGGAGACGAAGACAAATAAAGTGAATTATCACGTTGTTTGCACTTCTTTCTTTATTGTTCCGTAATATAATGAATTACTATATTTTCAATATCATTTATTTTCGAATAAATAAAAGACTACCAATACTACTGCGATTAACTCCTTATTAGCCGCACCATTTCAAAAAACAAAAAACAAACACAACAACGCGATACGGAAATAAAATACACTGAAGCACAATTCCAATTTCACGAAATTCCTGACGTATTCAGAGAGGGAAGGGGGAGGATAGAGACAGACAGACAGAGACAGACAGAGAAAGATAGATAAATAGATAGAAAGAGAGAGAGAGAGAGAGAGATGATTGTGATGAATTATGATTTTGTTCTAATCTCTGTCATTTATTTATCTCTTTCCATTACATACAAAACAAATAAAATATGCGTACAATGATATTTAATGATATTTGTCTCTCCGGTCACCCCCCCCCCCCCCAACTCTGATTTTTTTTTCTTCTTTTTTTTTGTTTCCTTTTTGTTTGATTATATCTTTTTGCTAAAGTATAATGTCCGACGTATAACATTAAGGATATGTTATAATAATTAATCTCAAGGAAGGGATGATGTCGGCATACATGCAAATGGCGGAATAGACAACATTATGAAGATGAAGATGGAAAACGACATAGACAGAGAGACAGACGGACAGGGAGAGAGAGAGAGAGGGGGGGGGGGAAGATAGAAAGTTGGACGTATAGTCTGTACTGTATTTATTACTATGATATTTTTCTCACCGACCCCCCCCCCCCCCCCCCCCCTCAAGCTCACATTTTTTCTTTCCATTTTTTTGTTTTGTTTTGTTTATATCTTTGGGCTAAAGTATAATATCCGACGTATAATAGTACCGTCAATATAGCATAATAAACAATTTTTGTATCAATCAGTTTGATGCAACAGGGATTTACAATCAAAAGTTTTACTTGGTATAATTGTTGTTCGGTAATGTTCTTCTCATTTCGACATTATCAGCCGCTCGTTCTCTATTTCGTTTCCTATAATAAATATAAGATATAATGTGTACATCATCAGGGATAATTACGTTATAATAATTAATCTCAAGGAAGAGATGCTGCCGGCGTACAGGCAAATGGAGGAATAGAAAACATTATAAAAAAGATGAAGATGGAAAACGACATTGCCAGATAGACAGAAAGACAGAGAGAGAGAGAGGGGGAAAGAGAGAGAGAGAGAAAGAGAGAGAACGAGGGAGAGAGAGAGAGAGAGAGAAAGGGGAGGGGAAAGCTAGGGGGCGGGAGAGATAGAAAGTTGGACGTAGTCCGTACTGTATTTATTTATATAATATTTGTCTCTCTGATAACCCCCCCCCCCCCCCCCAGCTCCGATTTTTGTTTACCCTTTAGTTTGCCCTTTTTTTTCTTCATCATATAGATATCTTTTGACTGAAGTATAATGTCCGACGTATAATAGTATTGTAAATATAGCATTTTAAACATTTTTTTTTATATCAATAAATTTGATGCAACAGAAATTTTCATTCAAAAGTTTTACTTTGGAAATATAATTATTGTTCAGTAATATTCTTCGCATTTCGACATTATCAGCCGCTCGTTCTCTATTTCGTTTCCTATAATAAATATAAGGTATAATGTGTACATCATCAGGGATAATTACGTTATAATAATTAATCTCAAGGAAGAGATGATGTCGGCATACAAGCAAACGGAGGAATAGAAAACATTTAATAAAAAAAGATGAAGATGGAAAACGACATTGCCAGATAAACAGAGAGACATATAGAGGGAGAGAGAGAGAGAGAGAGGGGGAAATAGAAAGAGAAAGAGAGAACGAGCGAGAGAGAGAGAGAGAGAGAGAGAGAAAGGGGAGGGGGAAGGGGGCGAGAGAGATAGAAAGTTGGACGTAGTCCGTACTGTATTTATTTATATGATATTTGTCTCTCTGATCATCCTCCCCCCCCCCCCCACCCCAGCTCCGATTTGTATCGCCTTTAGTCTGTCCTTTTTGTTATCATATAGATATCTTTTCGCTGAAGTATAATGTCCGACGTATAATAGTATAGACAATATAGCATAATAAACAGTGTTTATATCAATTTGTTGCAACAGAGATTTTCATTCAAAAGTTTTACTTTGGAAATACAATTATTCGCATTTAGACATTATCAGCCGCTCGTTTTTCACTTCGCTCGCTATAATAAATATAAGGTATAATAAAGTGTGTACATCATCATTATTTTATAATAATCTATCTCAAAAAAGGAATGTTGCCGGCATACAAGCAAACGGCGGAACAAAATTGGCAGATAGACAGAGAAAGCGACCGAGTGAGAGATAGAGGGAGAGAGAGACACACATAAGCAGAGAGAAAGAGAGAGAGAAACAATCATTTCTTATAATTATCTATTTGTGACATTTTATCTTTATCACATATTCTTGTCCATTCCTTTATCGTGCATGATTGTTGTCTTTGAATGAGTGTTTCAGATAGGGTAAAGTCTGGCTTTACGTTATAGGATTTTTATTTATGAGAATGTCGGAACGTGATCCCATTTAAAATTTTTAAAAACAGCAACGACAACTGCAATAACAACAAGACCCTTCCCTCCCCAAAAACAACATAAAGCAGGGTTATACATGAATACAAAGTCAGTTCATTGTTGTTGTTGTTGTTGTTTGGTATTATCGGCGTTTCATTCTTTTTTTAGAATATTTACGCCTTTCACTTTATTTATTTTTTTCTTCTATTTTTTGGTACTATTTGTAAATTCATACTCTTCTCTTTTTTTTGTTGATAATATAATCTCAGATCTGTCATCCAAGTATTCAATTATACCCTTACCTTACTTCCGCTCTTTAGAGTTTATAGCCATGACAACGACCCGTACCCTCAGCAACGTTCATTGTTCCTCTTACGTAACTCAGCTGTGGGAACATGCATGGGCCAAAGACAAAGACAAAGCTCTTTTCGCACATTCTATATAGGTCCCAAATACTTGCAGACATTTCTGTGTCGGTTTTATTTGTATTTATACTTTGTCAATACATATACTTACAAACTACAATTGTCAAAATTTGGCAATATATTCATACATATTGATATTTATATGGCATAAACATGCTCAAAGCGCTTTACATTAGTAAATAAAACAAACTAATTATTTTGCTCTCCAAATGGCACATCGGTATAGTCTGTACTGTATTTATTTATTATTATTCTATTTTGTCTCTCCTTTCACCCCAACCCTCCCCCATTCTGGATTCTTCTTTAGTTTCATTTTATCATGTCTATATCTTTTCGCTATAGTATAATGTCCGACAAAATAATATTATAACCGTCAATTTAGGCTGGTAAATTATTTCATATGAATATGATGCAACAGAGATTTACATTCAAATCCTTAATTTCTTATAAATTGTGTATTTTTCTCATAAAATTGAGTATCTAAATAAAAAGAGAAAGAAGAAGAACAAAATAAGAATGAGGCGAAGAAGAAGAAGAAAAGATAACGAAGAAGAAAACCCTACGAAAGAGCTGAAAAAACTGAGAGGCTTGGAGCACAGCAGAGAACGGCCGTGCAACGTGTTCTCGACATGACAAGACCGGATTGGCAAATGATCTGCGCATGCGCTAGGTTCCCGTTAGTCGAAGCCTCTGGCCGCTTGAGCGCACACGCATTGTGGCGCGCGCTGAGCGGTCTCACGGTACGGCGTGTTCGATTTTTAATCTCGTTTGTGAGGTGGCTATCAGGCTGAATAATGCCGAGCTGAACGGGTTAAAATGGATTGAAAACGGCTTCGCGTGGTGGAAGCTTCGCGGCTGCTCCATTAAACAGGCCCTTCTTTTACTTTTGCAATGCATATTGGCACGAATTTAGATCAAGATCTATCGGCAGATGTTGTTTTTTTGTTTTTGGAAGTTTATTTTCGTCTTAATGTCAACAATGCAAGATAAAATTGTCGGTAAGATCGATCGAGATTCAATTGTATTAAAATTACCGACCAATTCTTCGCACACGTACGGTATCCTCGATCGCTCAGACCATTTTTTAACATGTAAACCTATGGGGTAACCATGGAGACTGACCTATTTTCCCAATAACCATGGTTATTGGGATTTTGAACTGTTTTAACCATGGTTACTGGGAATTTTCGGGAACAGTTAAAGTTTATGAATGCAATTTCGACCAATCAGATTGCTTGATTACTTAAGTGAAGTATATAACTACTACTAATACATATACTAGCTAGAACAATAATAATGATACTAACTATTATTTTGATGAGACCGGAATAGGAATACCAAGCTTTTTTTATTCAAAAGTTGATGGCGATTATTGCGTTTTCCGTCAAACCTATTCAATATCTTGTAGCTGAGTAATCACGTTGTGAGATGGCGCTCTTTGCAATACCTACACAGAGCTACGGTTTAGGAGAGTTTGGCCAACTCGGTCGCAGTTTGGCTCAATATAGATAATACGAATTCACAAAGGAGGTTTGTTTCGACAAACGTAGGTTTATGTGCGTCATATGACGCGTTTCAAAGCGTTTCAAACCAAGGTTTGTACAACAAAGTTTGAAACGCGTCGAAACAAAGGTCTGTCGACAAACCTCCTTTGTGAATTCTGGCCTTTGCGTTTAAAGGTGCCAGGCTGTGCGATTATGAACAAATATGATCTATGACGCCATGATACGTCATCCTAATCGCTCAACTTAAGCTATTGTAACAACCAAAAAAAGTACCATGTAAGGCGGCTGGGCGGTGATTTTTCAGCCAATTTTGCCCGGACGCGGAGCGGCGACCACCCGGGTACCGATTGTTTGTCTAGGGCATCGCGTTTGGTTGCCGATGAAGTTTTAGCGCGGAGTTAAAATTCGGTTTCGCCTGCTCACTTTTTACTCGCCGCCCAAAATACGCTCGTTGCCCGGGCTGCCTAATTGAGCGTTCGCCGTCGAGCGATTTAGGTCAAAATTGGAAGCCGCTAGGTCAAAGGCTGCCGAGCGACTTTAAACTCGCCGCCCAGTGACCAACTGATAACCCAGTGGCGAACACTCGGCGCCTTTGACCTAAATCGCTCGACGCTGAACGCTAGATTAGGTCGGTGCTCAGGCGGCGACCGCCCGGCTGGATGGAGTTGGTCCTAGGATGGATGAATTAGTGAGAGGCTGGATGAAGTCGATAGCTTGACTGAGAAAGATTGTCTCTGACTGATTTATTTCTTATGAATTAGTTTGACATAATATTAATTGAATCACACTTTAAAGTCATATATAGTTCCATATAATCTTTTGGTAATAGGCTGGTGCAATGCTGGAGTGAAAAATACTGAATGATAGTTCTACGAAATGGTGCGTATGTAGTTACGAAAATGATGAGTAAATACATATGGGACTGCTACATAATTATAACTCCCGCTGTCCATTGCGTTGCATGCAGCGCAAGTTGAGCAATGCCGATGACGTTCATAACGTCATAGTCATGTTAATTCATAACAGCCCAGACTGGCACCTTCATAAGCTACCGTATGTATGGTTATCTATCTACCATGCAGGGCAGGTGAGCTACATAATAAAATATTCGATTACATAGCTAAACTAAAAGATATTTAGCTTACCTGATGAGGCGAGACAGACTCCAACAGTAACTGTGTCTTTGAAGAAAGCGCTGGCAATAGTACATGATCCACACAACACTCCGCCTAACATAGCGACAAAACGATGGTTGATCTTCTGCAGAACGAGTGTCACAAAAGGACCTAATATGTTGACAAATAAGGAGAAAAGATACTAAATTAAAGTTACATATATGAAAAACGTGAGGTAATTACGAAAGACCATTAGTGCCACGAAGAAAAAAAAACACACTTTCTACTAATCTGTTTAAACAGATTACGATATTTCTTCTAATCTGTTTAAACAGATTATAATCTGTTTAAACAGATTACGGTATTTCTACTAATCTGTTTAAACAGATTACGGTATTTCTACTAATCTGTTTAAACAGATTACGATATTTCTTCTAATCTGTTTAAACAGATTATAATCTGTTTAAACAGATTACGGTATTTCTACTAATCTGTTTAAACAGATTACGGTATTTCTACTAATCTGTTTAAACAGATTACAGTACTTCAACTAATCTGTTTAAACAGATTATAATCTGTTTAAACAGATTACGGTATTTCTACTAATCTGTTATAAAAGATTACGATATTTCTTCTAATCTGTTTAAACAGATTATAATCTGTTTAAACAGATTACGGTATTTCTACTAATCTGTTTAAACAGATTACGGTATTTCTACTAATCTGTTTAAACAGATTACGATATTTCTTCTAATCTGTTTAAACAGATTATAATCTGTTTAAACAGATTACGGTATTTCTACTAATCTGTTTAAACAGATTACGGTATTTCTACTAATCTGTTTAAACAGATTACAGTACTTCAACTAATCTGTTTAAACAGATTATAATCTGTTTAAACAGATTACGGTATTTCTACTAATCTGTTATAACAGATTACGATATTTCTTCTAATCTGTTTAAACAGATTATAATCTGTTTAAACAGATTACGGTATTTCCACTAATCTGTTATAACAGATTACGATATTTCTTCTAATCTGTTTAAACAGATTATAATCTGTTTAAACAGATTACGGTATTTCCACTAATCTGTTATAACAGATTACGATATTTCTTCTAATCTGTTTAAACAGATTATAATCTGTTTAAACAGATTACGGTATTTCTACTAATCTGTTTAAACAGATTATAATCTGTTTAAACAGATTACGGTATTTCTACTAATCTGTTTAAACAGATTACGGTATTTCTACTAATCTGTTTAAACAGATTACAGTACTTCAACTAATCTGTTTAAACAGATTATAATCTGTTTAAACAGATTACGGTATTTCTACTAATCTGTTATAACAGATTACGATATTTCTTCTAATCTGTTTAAACAGATTATAATCTGTTTAAACAGATTACGGTATTTCCACTAATCTGTTATAACAGATTACGATATTTCTTCTAATCTGTTTAAACAGATTATAATCTGTTTAAACAGATTACGGTATTTCCACTAATCGTAATCTGTTATAACAGATTAGTGGAAATACCGTAATCTGTTTAAACAGATTATAATCTGTTTAAACAGATTAGAAGAAATATCGTAATCTGTTATAACAGATTAGTAGAAATACCGTAATCTGTTTAAACAGATTATAATCTGTTTAAACAGATTAGTAGAAATACCGTAATCTGTTTAAACAGATTAGTAGAAATACCGTAATCTGTTTAAACAGATTATAATCTGTTTAAACAGATTAGAAGAAATATCGTAATCTGTTTAAACAGATTAGTAGAAATACCGTAATCTGTTTAAACAGATTAGTAGAAATACCGTAATCTGTTTAAACAGATTATAATCTGTTTAAACAGATTAAGGCGGCTGGGCGGTGATTTTTCAGCCAATTTTGCCCGGACGCGGAGCGGCGACCACCCGGGTACCGATTGTTTGTCTAGGGCATCGCGTTTGGTTGCCGATGAAGTTTTAGCGCGGAGTTAAAATTCGGTTTCGCCTGCTCACTTTTTACTCGCCGCCCAAAATACGCTCGTTGCCCGGGCTGCCTAATTGAGCGTTCGCCGTCGAGCGATTTAGGTCAAAATTGGAAGCCGCTAGGTCAAAGGCTGCCGAGCGACTTTAAACTCGCCGCCCAGTGACCAACTGATAACCCAGTGGCGAACACTCGGCGCCTTTGACCTAAATCGCTCGACGCTGAACGCTAGATTAGGTCGGTGCTCAGGCGGCGACCGCCCGGCTGGATGGAGTTGGTCCTAGGATGGATGAATTAGTGAGAGGCTGGATGAAGTCGATAGCTTGACTGAGAAAGATTGTCTCTGACTGATTTATTTCTTATGAATTAGTTTGACATAATATTAATTGAATCACACTTTAAAGTCATATATAGTTCCATATAATCTTTTGGTAATAGGCTGGTGCAATGCTGGAGTGAAAAATACTGAATGATAGTTCTACGAAATGGTGCGTATGTAGTTACGAAAATGATGAGTAAATACATATGGGACTGCTACATAATTATAACTCCCGCTGTCCATTGCGTTGCATGCAGCGCAAGTTGAGCAATGCCGATGACGTTCATAACGTCATAGTCATGTTAATTCATAACAGCCCAGACTGGCACCTTCATAAGCTACCGTATGTATGGTTATCTATCTACCATGCAGGGCAGGTGAGCTACATAATAAAATATTCGATTACATAGCTAAACTAAAAGATATTTAGCTTACCTGATGAGGCGAGACAGACTCCAACAGTAACTGTGTCTTTGAAGAAAGCGCTGGCAATAGTACATGATCCACACAACACTCCGCCTAACATAGCGACAAAACGATGGTTGATCTTCTGCAGAACGAGTGTCACAAAAGGACCTAATATGTTGACAAATAAGGAGAAAAGATACTAAATTAAAGTTACATATATGAAAAACGTGAGGTAATTACGAAAGACCATTAGTGCCACGAAGAAAAAAAAACACACTTTCTACTAATCTGTTTAAACAGATTACGATATTTCTTCTAATCTGTTTAAACAGATTATAATCTGTTTAAACAGATTACGGTATTTCTACTAATCTGTTTAAACAGATTACGGTATTTCTACTAATCTGTTTAAACAGATTACGATATTTCTTCTAATCTGTTTAAACAGATTATAATCTGTTTAAACAGATTACGGTATTTCTACTAATCTGTTTAAACAGATTACGGTATTTCTACTAATCTGTTTAAACAGATTACAGTACTTCAACTAATCTGTTTAAACAGATTATAATCTGTTTAAACAGATTACGGTATTTCTACTAATCTGTTATAAAAGATTACGATATTTCTTCTAATCTGTTTAAACAGATTATAATCTGTTTAAACAGATTACGGTATTTCTACTAATCTGTTTAAACAGATTACGGTATTTCTACTAATCTGTTTAAACAGATTACGATATTTCTTCTAATCTGTTTAAACAGATTATAATCTGTTTAAACAGATTACGGTATTTCTACTAATCTGTTTAAACAGATTACGGTATTTCTACTAATCTGTTTAAACAGATTACAGTACTTCAACTAATCTGTTTAAACAGATTATAATCTGTTTAAACAGATTACGGTATTTCTACTAATCTGTTATAACAGATTACGATATTTCTTCTAATCTGTTTAAACAGATTATAATCTGTTTAAACAGATTACGGTATTTCCACTAATCTGTTATAACAGATTACGATATTTCTTCTAATCTGTTTAAACAGATTATAATCTGTTTAAACAGATTACGGTATTTCCACTAATCTGTTATAACAGATTACGATATTTCTTCTAATCTGTTTAAACAGATTATAATCTGTTTAAACAGATTACGGTATTTCTACTAATCTGTTTAAACAGATTATAATCTGTTTAAACAGATTACGGTATTTCTACTAATCTGTTTAAACAGATTACGGTATTTCTACTAATCTGTTTAAACAGATTACAGTACTTCAACTAATCTGTTTAAACAGATTATAATCTGTTTAAACAGATTACGGTATTTCTACTAATCTGTTATAACAGATTACGATATTTCTTCTAATCTGTTTAAACAGATTATAATCTGTTTAAACAGATTACGGTATTTCCACTAATCTGTTATAACAGATTACGATATTTCTTCTAATCTGTTTAAACAGATTATAATCTGTTTAAACAGATTACGGTATTTCCACTAATCGTAATCTGTTATAACAGATTAGTGGAAATACCGTAATCTGTTTAAACAGATTATAATCTGTTTAAACAGATTAGAAGAAATATCGTAATCTGTTATAACAGATTAGTAGAAATACCGTAATCTGTTTAAACAGATTATAATCTGTTTAAACAGATTAGTAGAAATACCGTAATCTGTTTAAACAGATTAGTAGAAATACCGTAATCTGTTTAAACAGATTATAATCTGTTTAAACAGATTAGAAGAAATATCGTAATCTGTTTAAACAGATTAGTAGAAATACCGTAATCTGTTTAAACAGATTAGTAGAAATACCGTAATCTGTTTAAACAGATTATAATCTGTTTAAACAGATTAGAAGAAATATCGTAATCTGTTTAAACAGATTAGTAGAAATACCGTAATCTGTTTAAACAGATTAGTAGAAATACCGTAATCTGTTTAAACAGATTATAATCTGTTTAAACAGATTAGAAGAAATATCGTAATCTGTTTAAACAGATTAGTAGAAAGTGTGTTTTTTTTTTCTTCGTGGCACTAATGGTCTTTCGTAGGTAATTACGTGCAAAAGTAAACAATGTTTTTAGAAACGTTTACGAATTCCCCATCATCCAAATGTCAGAGTTATACTTACATGAAAACATGATTATACCATATTGCTGCCCGAATATGAGGTGACAATTACCCAAATAAATAAGGAATTCCATTCAAGGTGGAGGAGAAGGAGGACGAGGGGGATGAAAAGCAGGTGGAGTGGGACGGGAGGGGTGGGGTGGGTGTAGATCCTACCCCCTGCATTTCCCCCGGTAATATCCTTTGGCAAGATATCAATTTACATTTGCTACTTTCTACCCAAGTAAAGTGAGTGGGAACCTATAAGGGAATTCGAACAAATGCAATTCGTAATGCTTTTCCTTACTTGCAATAACCATCTTAATTCATTATTACGGGCCTACCACTAATGTTCAACAAGAACAGCAATAATAACTACTACTACTACTTTTGACCAATGATGACAATGATGATTATCATGATGATTGTTATTATCACGATTAATATTTTAGTTGTTGAAGTTGTCGTTAGTATGGTAAGAGTCTTTATCATTTTATTACCCTAAATATCATCATCAATATATAACTCTTATTATTGTTGTTATTATTATTAATAATATTTCAATTACGAAGATGATGATGATGATGATGACGATGAGGATCATACGTAGTAGTATAATTATCGTTATCATCATTACTTTTACATCTACTGCTAACCACCACTAGTACTACTATTACCTAAAGCATGTATATATTTAACACATTTGACTTACTTAATAGGTACATAACTGTTCCAGGCAAGCTACATATCAATCCGACAGTAGCATAATCTGACTCCAGACGCTCGACCATTGTAGGAATAAAAACACCGAAAGACTTCGCGATGCCAGTTTCAATAAAAAGTACAACGAATTTGCCAACAACAATCCGTAGCCTGAAGACCACATACTGAATCTTGCTATAACTATTGTACCCTCAATGCAGAAGTGTGATTTCAAGTGTTTCAAAGTTACAAGCAGTATACGCCTGTATTGCGAAAATTGACGATGAACTTGCAATATCAACAACATGCAAATACAAGTCAATACAAAGAGGATGCATGAAAGCGGCATATCGGTCAAATGATATGCACTACTGGCTTCATCATTGTAAGGCCCCATTTATTGAATAGTCAGATCATAAATTTGCATCAAAGGTTTTTTGTAACGGTTTCAAGTAGTATTCGACCTCAGAAATAACATAATTAAAAGTATACCCAAATCGAAGGTTCAGAAAGCTGTTATTTTCAAGATGGCGTCCAAGATGGCCGCCATCCTCGACTCATATAACACGCATATGTACAAGCACATTTAGTAAACAAGGATGTAGAACCAGCAGCAATGATTGCGCTGACTATTATTTTATTCTAGGGGGCGGTAGTGAGCAGGCAAAACGTCCAAACTATTTACAGAGCGCGCGAAGGGGGTTGGGTACAGGGTGGGAGAGTTTCATTACAATAATTGAGAAATTAAGAAGACGATTCGTTGTACCTTTCACGACTCTTAATCCTTGTCTGAATTCAGTTGTCCCCCTCCTGCGCGAAGCGCGGAAGCTTTGACCATTAAGTAAATTATTAGAGAAAGAGGACGATTCGTCGAACCGTTCTCGACCCTTCATCTTTGTCTGAATTCAGTTTCACCCCTCCCGCGCTAAGCGGGGAAGCTTTGATGTTTCATTTAATTATTAGGGAAACAAGACGATTCGTTGTACCGTTTTCGACTCTTGACTCTTGTCTGAATTAAGTTTTCCCCTCACGCGCGAAGTGTGGAAGCTTTGGCGTTTTATTAAATTGGTTTTATTTATTTATTCATTTATTTATTTCACATATCAACAAAAAAATCAGCATATACACTGAGAATAGGTCTGTGCTTGTAAAGCGCCTTCCGATTTACAATTACAATTAGAAAAAGAAGATGATTCGTTGTATATCGTTCTCGACTCTTAATCCTTTGATGAATTTAGTCCCCCCCCCCCCCCCCCCTCCTCCTCTTCCTGCGTAAGGCTCGGAAGCTTTGACGTCTCATTAACTTATTACCGGAAAGAAGACGATTGGTTGTACTGCTATCGACTCCTTATTCTTGTCTTAATTCAGATCCCCCCCCCCCCCCCCTCTGGAGCGAAGCGCGAAAGCTTTGACGTTTCATCAAATTATTAGCAGAAAGAAGACGATTCGTTCAACCGTTCTCGACTCTTAATTCTTGTCTGAATTAAGTATCATCCCTCTCGCGCAGAAGCTTTAGCGTTTCATTTAATTCTTTTTATTTATTTATTTCAAAAATTAAAAAAGGGGGAGCCTAAACAGCATATACACTGAGAGAAGGTTTGCGCGTGTAAAGCGTCTTCCGAAATACAATTACAATTAGAGAAAGAAGACGAATCTTTGGCTACCGTTTTCGACTCTTAATTCTTGTCTGAATTCAGTTTCCTCGCACGAAGCGCTGAAGCTTTGACGTCTCATTAACTTATTAGCGGAAAGAAGACGATTCGTTATACTGTTATCGACTCCTTATTCTTGTCTTAATTCGGTCCCCCCCCCCCTCTCTGGAGCGAAGCGCGAAAGCTTTGACGTTTCATCAAATTATTAGCGGAAAGAAGACGATTCTTTGTACTGTTCTTGACTCTTAATCCTTGTCTGAATTCTGTTTTCCCCTTCTCGCGCCATTATTTTCATTAAATTATTATCGGTAAAAAGACGATTTGTTGACCCGGGTTGTAGGAGACCTACCCCCTGTACATCCATCCCCCGGATAACCACCCCCTAAGGCAACCACCCTCTAAAACGATTACCACCCCCCCCCCCCCCCCCCCCGACGCGTCATTTTTTCTGCGGCAATAGATTGGGGCTTTTTTAAAAAGAGGCCTTGATTTAACCCTAACCCTAACCCTAAACTTTCCCATAGGCTTAACACACATCAAACCCCAATCTGTGCCGCAGAAAAAAAATACCGTCCCCGGGACAACTACCCCCGGACCAGGTGTGGCCGAGCGACTTCCAAAGTTCGGGGGGGGGGGGGGCACCAAGAAAAAAACCCGGCAATTTCTGAAGAAAAAAGACACCTACAAAGGGAAAATCTCAAAGCGGAAATATACATTTGTTTAGACATTGAAAAATACCCCTACATTGTGATTACATTATCAGGGATAATTTCAATGTTTGTATCACTTTATACACCATACAATATATTGCTTAAGCATCATGCTTGCAGAAGGGTGTGATGTTCTGAAAATTCATTTGAGAAGCGAATCAGGATTTGTGAGGTCGCAGTGCGAAAAATTACATCTTATACAGAGGAAGAAAAACAATCCTGATGGGGTTATAAGCACTTTCTCATATTAAACGGAAGACTGAAAAGACCTTTGATAAGTAACATAAGTATATCATCTATAGATGTTTGCGAGTGTAGCAAGCGAGCTTTGGGGGAAATTGCTCTTAGTCGCTTGAAATTAGGGGCGTTTAATGATGAGAGGAAAAGGGGACACTTATCAGAAAAGAAAAGGCGCATGTGTCGAAGTACATAGAGTAATTATCAGAGGTGAAAATAGGGCACTTCTTAATCTTCAAAAACAGGCACTCACCAGGGATGAAAAAATGTAGTCGTGAAAATAGGAAATGGGCATTTGTCGACGATAAATGGGCTCCCATCCGATTTTGATAGGGGCATTTATAAGAGGTGAAAAGGGTATTTATGAAAAGGGGATAGGTCCCTTATTAGAAACGAAAAGGAGCACGTATCATTGTAAGAGGAACATTATCAGAGGTGAAAAGAGGCACTTATCGCATCTGAAAAGGGGCAATGACCAAATATGAAAAGGGGCACTTATGCGAATGAAAAAAGGGCACTTACCAAAAAGAAAAAAGTGCATTAGTTGAAAAAATAGGCACCGATCATATTTTAAAGGGGCATTTATCTTAGGTGAAGGGGGCACTTATCTGAAGTGAAAAGGAGTAACTTCTCGTACCTGGAAAGGGTCATTTACCAGAGACGGGACTCCCATGAGAAGGGGGAAGGGGCTCTTTTTTAATGGGGCACTTATCATTTGGAAAGGGGGCACTTATTAGAAAGGAAAAGGGGCACATGTGAAAATATTAGGTGCGCTTATCCGAGTTAAAATGGGGGTAGTTATTAAAAGTGCAAGGGGCACTTCTTACAAAGGAAAAGGGACACTTGTCAAGGTAAAAGAGGCACCTCTCAGATTTGAATAGGGCAATTATCAGAGGTGGAGGAGGTACATATCAAAAGTGAAAAGAGACACTACTCATACCTGAAATAGGGCACTTACTAGAGATTAAAAAGGGCAATCATGAGAATGGAAAATGGACACTTATTGCAAAGGAAAATGTCGAAAAAAAGGAGCACGTGTCCAATCAATAGGGGCATTATGTAAAAAAAGGGCACTTGTCGGGTGCTTGAAAAAGTTGGGGGCACTGTGCCCCCTTAAAGGGCCACCTCTGCCCTTGACAATTACCGCCCAGACAACTATCCCCTAGAACAACTTCCCCCGGACAACTACCCCTGGAAAACTACCCCCTAAGACAACTACCCCCCCCCCCAGACAACTACCCCCAGACAACTATCCCCTAGAACAACTACCCCCGGACAACTACCCCCTGGAAAACTACCCCCCTACGACAACTACCCCCCCCCCCCCCGACAACTACCCCCAGACAACTACCCCCAGACAACTACCCTTTACGACAACAATCCTTTAGGACAGCCAACCCCGGAACAAATTTCCTAGTGGGTTGTTGTCCTAGAGGGTAGTTGACTGGGTAGGTTATCGGGGGGCTGGATGTCCAGAAAGTTGGTGTCCGGATACGGTTGCACCGTTCTCGACTCTTAATCCTCGTCTGAATTTTGAAAAATGTTTCTTTGTTTGCTCGTTTTTCTCCCTACTTTTTTTTAAATTTTTTATCTGCTCTCTCTCCCTCTCTCTCCCTCTCTCTCCCTCTCTCTTTGCTCCCTCTCTCTCTCTCTCTCCCTCTCTCTTTGGCCGGCATTTTTGTTGGGGGCGGTCGCCCAACCGTTGTTGTTGTTGTTGTTGTTGTTGTTTTAGTATTAAGGGCGTGTGTCATTCAATCATGAATATTTACGCCCCCTGTAGTGTTAGTCTCTCTCGAAGTCGTCACATTGCATATCAAGTCACAGTACGTAGGGGGACATATTAGCCAGCCGACCGACATTATACATCTCACCGACTTCAAACTTTTTTATTGATATAGTACACGAGGATCGAGCAAGAATCCCGACACAGCTGACCCGACAATCAATGCATATCTTTATTGCTTCCTCGACGAGACGACTCAACCCAACAACTCCCCTCTCTCTCTCTCTTACTCACACCCCTCCTCTTTTTTCTTCTTTTTTTTCCTTTTCTCCATTTCTTTCTTTTCTTTCTTTTTTCTTTTCTTTCTTTTCTTTCCTCTCCTTCCTCTTTTTCTTTTTTCGCTTCTCTTTCTTTTGTTTTCCTTTCTCTCTTTCTTTTCCTTTTCTTTTTTTCTTTTCTTTCCCTTTCCCTCTCATTTCCCCTCCCCTTTCCTAATTTTTCCCGACGGCAGCGCCATTTTACCGACAATATCCTGACAGGTAGGGGTGTCACAAATATTACATAATCGAATAAAATTACACTATTTTCCTTTCAGTGGCAATATGTTGACGTCAAAGCATTCTAATAGCAAACGTGATACATGAAATCGTATCTCTATTTCATGAACTTCAAATTTGATGATATTGACCAAAACTCAACTAATGACGTCGAGTTTATGCACACTAAATATCATGCAGAATTAACAATGTATGACGGAAATATGTACTATATAAGAAATTAACAAAATGGCGCCTAGATGACGTCACGCATCAGTAATAATTTGTGTTATCTTCGTTAGGATCGATAACATGCATATGTGTCTTTTCCAACCAACATCAAATTCTGTAGCACTTTGTAGGTTATTATAAATATGTAATGTTTGTCCTATATGTGGAATTTAAAACATTAGCAGTGTCCTATATTATTCAAATTATGTAAGGAAACCTGTTTATTTGCTAGGCTTCCCTGTCAGACACTAACATTGAGTGAATGAGTGACATCTTTTTTCTTTGGTAATCATAAAATACATAAAAATGAGCTGAAACAAGTACATGGGTATTTGTCTACATCAATAACCCACTACAGTGTGAGTCAAAAAAAAGTTTACACCTAGAAAATTGCTAATCATTTCAGAAATCATATATGAGCAGTAAATTAGTATACATGTTATGAAAGAGTATTTTATCCCGAATCATTTGGTATTATATTTGTGTGGTGTGTGTTGACGCTTGGATGAACAGGAGGCATTGTTTGCGATAGTGCAAAAATTGACTTGCGCCAAAGTTGCTTATATGATGCTTGAATAAAACAATTGGGATTTGGGTATTAATTCGTTCTTTGCAGATCCAAATAACATCCCTAACCAAATTAATCATGCCACACATATCAAATATCGAATATCATATAGCAACGTACATGTGTGCGCGTACGTGAGTGTGTGTTTGACTTTGCTTCTGCAAAAAGCATATGCAATGCATTTCATTTGATACATTCAATTCATTCGTTCACTCCGCTAATCCCAACATAATATATGCTGTATGCATCACGTTGGCGCAACTCGATTTTTGCACTCTTGCAAACAATGCCTCCTGTTCATCCTAGCGTGAACACATACCACACAAAAATGATACCAAATGATTTGGGATGAAGCACTCTTTCATGAGATGTATAATAATGTACTGTTCATAGATGATTTTTTTTAATAATTACCAATTTTCTAGCTGTAAACTTTTTTTGGACTCACACGGTATACTTGTAATGGCCAAAATTAAACTGATTGAACCTTTATGCAACACAAATCATATGACCATTTAGTACATTGGTCTAAAAATCAGACTATTACTTAGATGATTGCAATCACTTATGTCGGTTCGACAACTAATGGTCGTTATTTTCTAAAAAATTTTTTTTATACCTTTTCGTTTTGATGGAAGTTCTGAATAAGTATTGGCATTCAAATGTCGTTGGAATTTAACCATTTCATTGTTTGACCTGCAAATAGGACAAAGTACCTTTAAAATTGTCATTATCATTTACCATGCCATTCATGAGATATAAAATGAACAAAAACCACACAGCAAGAAAGGGAAGATAAAGAAGCAAAAAGATAAATTCTTCCGAAATTTATAGGTGCTCTGCCACGCTTCGCGGCAGATTTTTAAAAGGACAATAAAGACAAAAGACAATGAATAAATGACGCAATACTTTGTTTTCGTACAAGGTTATCACAAGGGTTTGCATTAAAAAAAATAACCTAAGAAAATGGCACAGTGGAATTAATTTAGAAGGTAAACTCTTGATTCAAACAATGCTATTATCCAGGGCCATTTTCAATGTGTTCCTAATCAAATGACAATAGATGGTATAGATTCATGGGGATGAAGTAAGCTATTATAAACCATTACTAACCAACCACTAAGCCGCGCCCGGCGTAAGGTCAACATGACAATAGCCCGACCCGACCTAAAAAAACAAATCAGGTAGGCACCCAATGACGTTCCAAAATGTTACATGTTAATATGGACGTTTAGATTTGCACGTCGACATAGTGGACTGCTACGTGTGACGTCCTTTTAAGGAACTATGTCGCCCTGCAAATCTAAAAGTCCCTAATGACGAAATCGTATGAGTTATTTATTTGGTAACAATTTGGTAAGCTCTTGTTCTTCGTCGATTTTCTAAGACACCGAAATGACAACAAAGATTTTGGCAAAATATTGGAAGTAATTAGAAGGTAAACTTCTGATATATTGAAGGCCAATAGGTCATTCTAAATTGTGCATACTAAAAACAAAACAAAACAATAGGTAAAGTTCATGGAAATACAAGTAGTTATTACTATTAGCCATTACTAACCAATCGCATGAATAGCTTGTTCGGTATCAACTTGTTAAGGGCACCTCCTTTATTTATTTTAAAAGGAAGGAGGATAGGTAGAAGTTTCTGCCTCCTCCTCTAAATCCTCAATGGTCAAAATCAGAGCTGACATCTTGTCGTCGTCTCTTGATGAGGATCCATACGATGAAGAGATGAACGACCATGACGGCGCGAATGAAGCCGACGATGATGAACACCATCGTGAATGACTGGGTGACATCAAACAGATAACCTAGGAAATGATCGTACCAGAATTATATGTATTTGTCAGGGATTTGTAATGTTAACATTGCAAAGCGTACACAGACACAGCTTTCACCAAAACCTATGTAGACATGCGTATGGGGGCACGATCATAGCTTAACCCTTACTGTACTGGGCTATTTTGAGCACCTAACTGGGGGGGGGGAGCCCCCCCCCCCTATGATCTCTGTCGTCGAATGTCCGAAGAACACGAACATTTGCATGGCTGTAGATATTTGCGTAAGGAACAAGATGGTACAATTAGTTTTGTCCTAATATGCAAATTTGTGTCGTTATAGCCTAATTACTTATGCAAAATGCTCATTTTACAGAAAACTCTACATTACATAGCGAAGAATGTTGAAAATGTATTGGATAAATGTTTTCTTCATTTCAATTTCATGAGGTTTCATTATTGTGATATTTGAAAATGCATAGGTTAATTGGCATAAATTATGAATACGCAAATTACGCATTCATGAATATCAAATCTGGAAATGTGCAGGGAACTAGAATCATTCCCAAAATTGTCAGACTCCACTTTTTGAATGTTGAAACTCATTATTTATATGAAACTTCTTTTCTAACAAAATCTAGTTACTTTAATGTAATTAATAATAATAATTTATGCAAATTGTATGCGATTTTCAAATATTTGGGCCTATTTGAGCTTTTTAGTGATGTTTTTGTTGTTGGAAAGTATGTTTAGGTGTGCAGATTAACCAACAAGTGCATGGTGGGGATAAAAGCTTCTTTCTTGAAGACAGGAGGTTTATTGTGATGCATTGCCAAGCAAGTGCACAACAAGGGATTAAAGAACTTAGCGATTAGATATATTAGTAACACATATGCTCTAATCATGTTGGGACACTCCTGTGGTACAACTTTTATACAAGGCTAATGAGGTCTTCAGAAGCCTATAGATTTCAAGTCATATGTATCTCTGTTTATCAAAAGCTTCATCTTAAAATGTTTTTCTGAAGAAAAAAAGTTCGAAATTCATCATTTTATTTTGTTATGTATGTTATTGTTTTTTATTTCTATTGTTTTATTTCTAATGTATTTTTTGTTCTGGAATACATCAAGTTACTTTGAGAAATATATAAAAGCAATTTGATATCAATTCATATCTCCAACTTAGGAAGATATACCTCTAAACCTGTATTCACATTTCTACTTGTACGTGAATATATGCAATTTTAGCACTTTTTGATGACATGCGCATACTAATTGTTATGTAACACCTTACAGATGTGCGTAAGACTTGGAAGAAAATAAGTCATGAAACGACAATTCAAAATTCCCATCAGTTAAGGCGCAATCTCCGAAATTATTGAGGGGGCCTCCCAGCCCCCCCCCCCCCCCCCCTCAGTAGAGTAAGGGTTAAATAATGGAACTCTTAAAACTTCCTCCCATGTAGATATTTGCTAAAGAGTTAGAACTATTTAAGGCTACATGAATTGCCTGACTATTAAGCAGGAGCAACTTCCATAGACGCATCTTTCTCTCTTTAATAACTAGCTATGACTCTTAAACAGAAACGCCATCGACAGCTAACTCTTGTCACCTAAAACTCACGAAAGTCTTTACCTGTTCACTGATAGTGACTGAATAGTACTACTAAACATGGATTTCAGAAATATTAATCTGATCACATGATTACCAACACCTTCGAGAAAATCAAGCTAAGGTAATTTAAACTAGACTCGTGTGTCATCTTTTGAAATGTATGATTAGGCCTGATTAGATAATCTATCTACCTCTCTTAACTTAGAGGCCGTGGAGCAAAAAGGAAATTGAACTTGAGCCACTGGTTTCTCCAAAACTTTCTGTCTTACACATTTTATATTTAGCTGCTCAAAAAGCAACCAAGTCCAAGGATTTGATGTTGTCAGTCCGTAATCCGAAAAATTATTTATAATGGCAATACATACAATGGGGTATTGAACTAACGTTGATTTCTTAAAGGTTTATCATGTTTGAAAAGAAGAAGATGGCTATGAATTACTCACCTGTAATTGTTCCTGCACATGTCGCCCCTAGTCCGTCTACGAATGAACCGAGAGCCACGGCCATGTTAAAATTCCGATCGTCAAAGACTGCATCTTTCAATAAACTGGACATAAGAGCATCCTCGATGAAGAAGGAGAAACCTTGGAAAAAAGCCAATGTAGCACGCACCGCGTAAGCAGAACTGATGAAGTCCAGAAGAAATGATGCTGTGCCGATGAGGCCTATGGCGATGTAGATGATATAAACATTGATGCCTTTGCCAACGAGGATGATGAAGATGGTCCGACCGATGATGCCACCTATGCCGCCAATTGTGGAGAGGAAGATTGCTTTAGAAGGAGGGATTCCCAGGTGTTCAGCGTGAGGTACCAGAAACAGCATCCACGCATAAATAGAGAACATGTACAAGAAATGAATCGGGATGGTGAAGAGATAGAGTGGTTCGTTTAATAGTCCACAGGACCGTTTGCCGGTTTGAAAGACGGAGCTTGTCCAAGACGAGCGCGCTTTCGGGGATATTTCCTGTTTACTGATGTCACGTCTCTCGTTTTGAATCAAGCGTCTTTCGTCCAAGACGCACTCTTCACTATCCTCTTTCTCTTCCTCCTCCTCCTCTTTTTTCACTTCCTCCTCCTCCTCCTCCTCCTCCTCCTCCTCACGATTACGGATGCCATCTGTTCGCCTTGAGGACTCTCCTTTAGAGAGACACTTCTGTTTCTCACTCACTCCATTATAAATTTTGCCTTCATTTGTCGCTGCGTTTTTTGGTGCATTGTGTATCGTTGCACCGCACGCGACAAGGTTAAAAGCGATACCGCCAAGGATAATAAACGCCCCTACATAGCCATATGCTTCGAATGACCTTTCCATTACAATAGGAAGCAGCGTGGATCCAGCGGTGTAGCCGTACAACGTGATTAAGTTCATCAAAACGAATTTTTCTCTGAAGAAATCATTCAGTGCAATCACCATGGGCATATAGGTCATTGACAGGCCAACACCTGCGGGAAAAAAAATGAAAGGATAAAAATATTGACTATTACTAAAAATTTAACGGACTCGCACTGCTCCATTTACATTCAGTTCTAGTCTCCATGATATTTAGGACTGGCTTGCCTTTTGTAAACAAGTTCATTTTCTTTTTTAACTGCTTTTCAACCTCAGGCACGTTTGTCCCTTGAATTATTGCGATTATTGCGTTTTCCATCAAACCTTTTTCAATATGTATTGTTCTTGTAGCTGAGTCATTACGTCGTGAGATGGCGCTCTTAACAATACCTACACGGAGCTACTGATTAGGAGAGTTTGGCCTACTCGGTTGTAGTTGGGCTCAATATAAATAATACGGCTTTTGTTGGGCAAACTCGACTTGGCCCAAATTCACAAAGGAAGTTTGTCGATAAACCTAGTATTTGGTTTATGTGCGTCATATGACGCGTTTTGACGCGATTCAAACCAAGGTTTTACAAACTTGTACAAACCTTGGTTTGAAACCCGTCGAAACGCCTCTTTTGACGCAAATAAACCTAGGTTTGTCGACAAACCTCCACTGTGAATTCGAGCCTTTGCGTATTCGGGCCGCTCAACTTACGCTGTGCAAAACAATGGCCGTTGGACAGCGGGAGTTATAATGATGTAGCAGCCCCATATGTTATGTATACTCATCACTTTCGTAATCATATATGCGCCATTTCGTAGATCTATCATTCCGTATTCCTGCTACAGTATTGCACCAGCCTATAAAAAAAAATGATTGGAACAATGAATTACTTCATAATACAATTTCATTAATTTAATGATATCATTCTTTTGATATTATGTCAAATCAATTCAGAAAAAGAAAACAAACATTGGTTGCCATAACCTTGAAATTTTCCCCAAACCCATGGATAAGAAGTTGTTAAATGTTTGTCACCGAAACGGCAGCCATTTTGAATGTTCATGGTCAAGGTAAGCACTTTTACTTTTGAAAATTGTATAGTTGAATTCACCACGTCAGGAAACATATTATTAGACACTAAAATCATTAGAATCGGACGTGGTGGTAAATTTGACCTTTTTGACCATAGCGCCCTCATTTAAGGTCGGAGGTATAACAAACTATACATTTTTTAATCCTCATGACCAGACGAGTAATTCGATATGCATATCGACACCATTTGAATATATTTGAATTTCAACCCCTGTTTGACCTTTGTTGGACCATCACGAAAATGCCCGAGATTTTCAAGGGGGCAGCCCAAGTCAAAATTGTTCGGTATTCATCAGGGAACACAAAAACACTTTCAAACCTTTGTTTCGAGAGATTGGTCACGGGACCTACAGGCTGGTCTCCTACTACTATTGTCACCGATCTTTGGTCCTGTCATCACAGGCCCGCCCCCCCCCCCTCCCCCACTCAGTGTTATTTAGGGTACGCATATGCGTGTTCCCTCCTTTTGAAAACACCCCTAAGTCCGGTGTGTAAAGTCAATTTTGTGTATGTATGAGCCGGACTTTGGTGCGTGAAAAGTACCCCTTTACCGGACATTTTTGTACACGCATGCGGTCATTCCGACCCCCCGGAGTGGGGGGGGGGGGGTGGTCACAGGACGCCATGCAGTGCTGCGAAGCAAACGTGTGACTCAGACTGATCACTTAGCTTGAGAAAGTCCGCAGGAGTGGAAGCTTTAAAACTACATGTTATCATTATCCCCAACTGATAAAAGTTTTCTGTATCACTCACTCATCTGTTGCTCTCGTTTTTCTGCCGTTATTACAAGCAACTTAAATGGAATTTTACCCTGTTAAGGGTAAGCTTCCCCTTTAACTCCATTTGTATAGCCTAGCACAATCGAAACCTGCATCAACTCCATCCATCCTATACAGTACCAACTACATACACTATGAACATGATGGACAATGAAAGAGGACAAAATATACAGTTCCTCATTCTACCCTCAACAATTGATGTGGCAGACAAAGGAACATCCCTTCACTGCTATTATGTAAAAATGTGTAGAACAGGTGTCACATGCATATTCACCTGTTCTACACATTTTTACATAATAGCAGTGAAGGGATGTTTCTTTGTCTACCACAGCAATTGTTGAGGGTAGAATGGGGAACTGTTTATTTTGTCCTCTTTCTTTGTTCGACATGTTTATAGTGATACGGCCTAGCATCAACCCCATCCAAACTATAGAACCAACTCTATCCAGCCCATACAGCACCAACTCCACAACTCCATTAGGCCTACCGCCATAATAAGCCTTACATTAACTCTAAATATCGCCCCGTCCGATCTCTTTAAGCTTGCACCAACACCATCCAGGGATATATGGAGCTCATGTAAGGTTTATTTAAGTTGGTGGTAGGCTGGATGGAATTTGGTTGGTGATAGGCTGGATGGAGTTCGTGCAAGCTAAAAATGGAGTTGGTCCTAGGCTGGATGGAATTGGTCCTAGGCTGCATACGGTTTGTCCTAGGCTGGATGAAGTCGATAGCTTGACTATGAAAAAGATTGTCTCCGAATGATGTATTTCTTCTCAATGAATTTGACATAATATCAATTGAATTATACATTAAAGTCATTTATAGTTCCATATAATCCTTTGGTAATAGGCTGGTGCAATGCTGGCGCGAAAATACTGAATGATAATTTCACGAAATGGCGCGTATGTCATCACGGAAATGATGAGGAAATACATATGGGACTGCTACATAAATATAACTCCCGCTGTCCATTGCGTTGCATGCAGCGCAAGTTGAGCAATGCCGATGACGTTCATAACGTCATAGTCATGTTAATTCATAACAGCCCAGCCTGGCATCTACATAAGCTACCGTATGTATGGTTATCTATCTACCATGCAGGGCACAAAATGAGCTACATAATGAAATATGCGATTACATAGCTAAACTAAACGATATTTAGCTTACCTGATAAGGCGAGACAGACTCCTACAGTAACTGAGTTTTTGAAGAAAGCGCTGGCAATAATACATGATCCACACAACACTCCGCCTAACATAGCGACAAAACGATGGTTGATCTTCTGCAGAACGAGTGTCACAAAAGGACCTAATATGTTGACAAATAAGGAGAAAAGATACTAAATTAAAGTTAAATATATGAAAAACGTGAGGTAATTACGTGCAAAAGTAAACAATGTTTTTAGAAACGTTTACGAATTCCCCATCATCCAAATGTCAGAGTTATACTTACATGAAAACATGATTATACCATATTGCTGCCCGAATATGAGGTGACGATTAAACAGATTTCCACAGGAATTCCATTTAAGGTGGTGGAGAGGGAGGACGACAAGGACGAAGAGCAAGATGAATGGGGGGGGGGGGTGAAGGGGGGTGGGGTTTGGCGTTGGGCGTAGCTCCTATCCCCTACCACTAATGTTCAACAAGAACAGCAATAATAAATATTACTACTTTTGACCAATGCTAAGACAATGATGACTATTTCGATATTTGTTATTATTTCGATTAATATAAAGTTGTTGTTAGTATTATCATAGTTTTTATCATTTTATCATCCTAAATATTATTATCAATATTATTATTGTTATTATTATTATTATTAATAATATTTCAATTGTGAAGATGATGATACGTAGTAGTCTAATTATATTTATCATAATTACTTCTACATCTACTGCTAACTACCACTAGTACCACTAATACCAATAGTTTGTATATGACACATTTTATTTACATAAGAGGTACATCAATGTTGCAGGCAAGCTACATATCAATCCGACAGTAGCATAATCTGACTCTAGACGCTCGACCATTGTTGGAATAAAAACACCGAAAGACTTCGCGATGCCAGTTTCAATAAAAAGTACCACGAATTTGCCAGCAACAATCCCGAAGCCAAAAGACCACATACTGAATCTTGCTAAAACTACTGTACGCTCAATGCAGAAGTATGATTTATCGATCCAATCGAATCCAAAAAGTATTTGATTTAGGCCTGGCGCCCCTTTTACTTTGCAATAACAAAGTGCTGTACAGATCGCTTCCAATGATAGGGTCACCAAAACAAGATTTCACTTAAACAGGGCGAATTTGGCCAAAACAATCCAGTGTTGTCTAGCAAAATAGATAGGGCTTCAGAAATTGTAGCTGACTTCCAAAGAGGTATAAAGCTTGTTCCACAACTTTGCAGCAAATTACAGATCATATACGCCTGTATAGACCAGTTCACGGTTAGCACTTTACTGCAATGACCCCGAATATCCACAGATCTTCAACACATGAAGAGGTCCCACTTTGTACATTTTGAAATAATCACTCCTACAGCGATGGACTGGTGCTTTATAAATAGCCTTTGTTCCCCCTTTTCAAAGAATACTTCCACCTGTGTACAATGGAGTGCACTGAATGTGCATGAATGAATAATGTTACAATAACTTTCATCAGCACGTATCCAGTATTTCGTCTCCGTGTATTTCAAAATTTGTTCTGCAATAACCTTTATCTGCTCATGCTCAGACTGCAACCGTGAACTGGCTTATTGCGAAAATTGACGATGAACTTGCAGTATCAACAATATGCAAATACATGTTAATAGCAAGAGGATGCATGAATGCCTCTGGGACAGATGATGTGCAGTACTGGCTTCATCATTTGTAAG